ATCATTGATGCAAGTAACTTTCACCCTAAACCCCTAAACCCTAAACCCTAAACCCCTACACCCTAAACCCCTAAACCCTGGCACCTGAACTGGTGCCGCCAAGGCCAGGAGGAAGGCGAAGAGCGAGATCAGAGATCGGGCCATCATCTTCCCAGAGAGCCCAAGGGACCCCTTAACTAAGGAATATACCTTAAATTACAGAAGTTTAGGATTTAGGGTTTAGGGTTTGCCCAAGGGACCCCTTAAATAAGGAATATACCTTCCTTAAATTACAGGGGTTTAGGGTTTAGGGTTTAGGGTCAATACCCCTTAATCAAAATTATATACCTTTAAGGGTTCCTTGAAGGGAGCTATAAGGGATCCATAAGGGAATGAAGGAATAGACCTGAAGTCATAATATTAAGGCTCCTCTAATTTAAGGTCTACTCCTTATTTTAAAGGGTCTTGGGCTCTGTGGGTTTGCGAGATTGAGATCCGGGAGGTCTTAGGTTGGCTTTAGGGTTTTAGGGCTCCAGGGCTCTAGGGTTTTAGGGCTTTGAGGCTTGGGGTTTTTGGGTTTAGGGGCGCACGTTTGCGCCCCCAACCGTTGAGGCTCGTATGAGGCCGTTTAGGCACCTAGGGTTTAGGGCGTGCTCTAAAAAAACTAAGTCTACTAAGGGTTTAGGGTTTCGGGATTGGGGTTTAGGGTTTAGTCATAAGTGTTCCGGGGGGGGGGGGTATTGTATCAAAACACGAACTGGTGAGATGGGATGTGTGGATCTCAGGAACGGTCTGCGAAGTCAACTGCAGTGTGCAGGGTTCAGGTGAGGTCTACAAAGGTTTGTGCACAGTGTCGGGCATACATCGACATATCTCAAATCAGGAGGGGACGATACAGCGCTGCGTTGCAATACAGATGCGAAACTGACTTTTATAAAGACCATGTTCAAATCAAACGTAATGGCACGAGTAAGATGTCTAAACGGTCAGACCCCCAAGCCTACTGCCTAGAAACTTCAGCGAAACTCTATCCAACCATCCCAAACCTCAAACCTATAAGACTATGGTACCTTACAAACTCTACAAACCCTTTAGCCAAAACCCTGAACCCTAGAAAAGCCCCCAAATCCTATACCCAAAAGGGCTTCCTCCCTCAAGGCCTCCGCTGCGAGGAAGGGACGATCGGTTACTCTTCGGCGTATGTGCTGCGAAGCCAAAACTTCAGGTGCAGGGCGCGGCGGCGCAACAAGAAGAAAAATCATAACAGTAACAACACTGTGATTATTAATATTACATTCACTATTACTATAATGATTACTATGATTGGCAGCAGCAGCAGCAGCAGCAGCAGCAGCAGCAGGAGGAGGAGGAGGAGGAGGAGTAGTAGTAGTAGTAGTAGTGTGGGCTCTATGAAATCTCTGTGTCAACATGGTGCTGTTCTAGATCGCGGCCTCACTGAAAACCGAATTTGTTGTAATCAAACCCCCACAGAATGTTGAACAAGATGAACTGACATCCTGCAGCCTTATAAACCTGGCTCAGCAGGGACGTCGGTGGCTCATGGAACCCTGGAAGCTTTTTCCCGCGCGTCGCAGGTCCTCTACTACTACGTCCTATGTGGTGAAATCGAGATTTAAACGGTTTCTGAGCCAGCCCGCCCCGAGGGGAACGAGGCCAACGAAGTGAAATCTGCCATTACCGTGGCCTTCTGCATCGTCGTTACAGCGCCGTTGCAGTTTCGACAGGTGCCTCTACAAAATTTTGGGAGAAGCCTCAGCTCTAGATTAGACCCGGGCTTTAGGCTTTCACTCTCCCACTGACACGAACGAGCCTCAAGAGCTCGAAGGGAGCGAGCCTGAAACTCTGTTTTAACATCCTTGCCGTCACATCTAGATCTCAGCAACTCCCCTTTGCGAGTGGTTGATCACCTGAGCCGTGCGGAGCATTAACCACAAATCCCAACCGGGAACCTCAGTCCCTAAACCCCAAAACCCTCCCAAAACCCCGAAAACCCAAAGCCCTCAAACCCAAAAAAACCTGAAGCCAAAACCCCGCAAACAATGAAGATTGAAGTGCATTCCTTAGTCTAGGGTTGAGGGGTTTAGGAATTAGGGGCTAGGGTTTAGGGGCTAGGGGTTTTATAGAATAGGGTTTTGGGGGTATATTGCACTATAGTTAGAATAAGGAAGCCCCAAAACCCTCTTCTATTTATTACGGCCCCTACATTAGGGTTTACGGTTTAGGGGTTTAGGGTGTGGGAGTTTGGGAGTCTCTACTTGGAGGATCATGGGACGTAGTGACTAGGGCTATCAATAAGGTAACTATAATTATAACCGCAATTAGTAGGGTACTTATAACCTTACTTACTAAGTCCCATGATCCTCACAGTGGAGATGGTGTTTCACCTGTCCGGTTCAGGTTGCGGGGTGCAGGAAATTGAGGGGCCAGGGTGCAGGGTCCCAGGTCTTAGGGTTTAGGCGTTTAGGGTTCAGGGGTTTAGGGTTTAGGGTTTAGGGTCTAGGGGTAACTATCTAAGTTTGACTGACAAGAACTCAGACAAGGTTTCGGGTGTAAGTTTCAAGGGTAACTCCCAAGAAGTCAGACAACCCTGCAGCGACTGCCATCAGAGTAAACCCACCCCTCCCCCTCCCCAGCCCCCTCACCCTAAAAGCTAAACCCTAAACCGTAAATCCTAAACCCTAAACCCGAAGCGACCCTGGTTGCTAGAAGCTCCCTGCGAAAAGCAGCAGAAGACCCCTGCGGACCACGCAGCTGCTCTAGAACCCTGTTAGGATTTATAGGGTCTTGGGGTTTAGGGTTTAAGGCTTAGGGTCTTCGGCTGAAGCGTTTAGGGTTTAGGGTCTTCGGGTTCAGGGTCTTAGGGTTAAGGGTCTTAGGGTACCCTGGAAAGCTTCAGATAAACTCCTAGGCTCGCCAGAGTCCCCTTAATGAGGGCCCTCTATTTTTTTCTCAAGGGGGATCCCGAAACAGAAAAGCAAACGTGCAGTAACATAGAAACCTAAATAATTACCACTATTGCTGCTAGGGTTCCTTATCATAGCAATGCTCTGAAATTGAGCCCAAAACCGTATCCTGATATTAAGGCCCGTACATTAATTATTGGGGAACCTGGACTCAAAAGTCTGTTCGAGACAAAGTGGCTTGCAGCACTCCAAGTAGCAGATCACGCAGGACTCGGTGTGCGGGCGAGGCTGCAGGATTACCGCGTTGAGGGCTTAAGGTAGCAGCGACTACGACTGCGGCTAGCGCAACTGACCTGATGATCATTACTTAAAAAGACCTTCTTTGAAAATCATACTGCTACTGCGGCTGATCTTGATGCTTGCTGCCAGGAATATCATAACATGCGGCCATAGAGGACCTTAGTCCTGATGACGGTGAAGAATACAGCAACATCGGTGGTGATGGTGATGGTGGTGGTTGTCACCATCATCGCCATCAATATCGTCATCATCATTGACAACATCGTGACTCAGACTTGGCTCTTTAAGCCACAAGAGGAGGACCTGCAGACTTCCCGAGGCCCTGGGCACAGGAGGTCTTGGGGTTTCAGTGTAAAGAACTCAGGGCATCCCACGATCCCTGCCAAAAGGTGTTTGGGGTTTAGGGGTTTAGNNGTTTAGGGTTTAGGGGCCCGAAACCCAACAACTCTCAAAACGATAAACCGTACAAACCCTAACCCAAAGGTGGCCGAGGCCCGTGCCACCATCATGAAGATCAGCGCGAGACCCTCGGCAGTGGTGCTCGTGGCGACGTAGGGGTTCTCATTGAGCTCGATTTCCTCCGCGGTGTCTGGGTTTTAATAGGACTTCACAAGGGCTTCATCAGACCTTCAAAAGGGTTTCATGAAGGTCTCACAAGGTTCTACCAGATCTGTTTCGTAGTTTTCGGGATAGCGGTTTAGAGGAGGCTTGTGCAATGCGTTCATACTCCTTAACCCTAAACCCTAGCAGTTCCCTTGAAAATCTTGGAACTCAGGCATTGGGGTTGATGGGCGTATGGGTTGAGGATCAGTAGTGCTGGGGTTCTCTATGCTTGTTACCCTAGACCCTAAAGGTCAGGCTCTTGGGTTTCGGGTTTTGCGTTTAGGGTTTATGGTTTAGGGTTTAGGGTTAGGGTTTTGGGTAAAAGAACCCTAAACCCATAACCCCAAGGTTGATTCTGCTGTCGGGTCTGAGGGCACCATAGCTCTTAATTCAGGAGTTTGCCTTACGCTACAAGTAGGGTTTAGGGTTTAGGGTTTTGTGTTTAGGGTTTAGAGTTTAGGGTCTATGGTTTTTGCTTCGGGTTTAGGGTTTTGCTATGACCGAAGGTATGTTGATTAGCTGAGGGGTATTGGGCTCTCCGGGAGGGTCTGCGGCCACACCCTGAAAACCCCGGAAACGCCCTCAAACTGAAGCCCTAAAGCAACAATACTGAACCCCACTACTCTAAAGCCTAAAATCCTGAAAGTCTATAGTATAGTATAGCTCTATAGTATTTTATAGAGCCGTTATAGCGAACCGTATAAAAATCTTTAAGGAACCCTTGTAAAAGAGCCCTGTCAGACCCGGGTTCAGAACCCAAAGTCTTGGGTTAAGGGCTTCGGGGTCTCAACCCAAGGTGCTGCAAAGCAAAGCCGCAAGCCGCAAACCTTCAACCGTAACCTTAAAAGGGGGGGAGGTCGAAGTAGGTTTGGGGTTTTCAGGTTTGCAGTTTCGGGTGGGAGTTTACTTCTTCGGTCTAAGTTTAGGAAGGCTTAGGGCTTCAAGCCTCAAGCATAAGCTCCGACCTCCGTGCAGCTCTCATAGAGCTTCTATACCTTAACCTACCAGAACCTATTTTTGGGTAGGGTCCCTATACATCCCATATCAGGGTTTAAAACAAGAACCTGCACAAAAGTGGGCTATGGTAGGTTAAGGTAGAACCCCTATCAAAGGCAGAACTCTTTAAAGGCCCCTTTAGAGGACTGGAATCCTGATACCACGGCGTTGAACCGAGGAAAAAGCACTAAATATAGGGGCCTTAATAAATTAGAATAGGGCTTGGGGGCATTATATACTATAATTACAATAAGGAACCCCCGAAGTAGTATAGGTAGTTATTTAGGCCCCTATATTACCTTCATCCGACATTATTGAGGCCCATGAGAGTAGACGTGATAGGAT